GGGCACTCGGTTGGGTTTGGTGAAACCGACACACCCTCCGTGTCGGGTGTGTGGAATTCGATGTGTTGGATTTCAATTCGAAGCGACGACGAGGTGTTTCGCTCTCTTTTTGGAACTCTTCGGTTAGGACCAAAGTCGGTGCCAATTCTTCGACGCAGATTTATTCCTGGTTTGAGAACTTCCTGCTTTTCCACATGAGCTGTTCGCGAGAAGATCTCGCTGGGTTTGGTCGAGAATACGCTTGTTTGGTGAGAAAGATTCAGAATAGTTCAGAATTGATTTTCTGTGACCTGCGTTGGCACCAAACATAGACCTGACCAAGTGGAGACTTCGGGTCCGAGGTGAATTTCATTTTCGAGGACCAGGAGATGACAGTGGCAATTCCTCAGGGATACAACGTCGGTCAGCAGGCGGAGCGGCGGAGAGAGCGCAACGGAGGTCCTGAGTGCTGCAGTGGTTTCTGTTGGTCTCTTATTGATTGGGAGTCGAAAACTGAGGTGCTGAGGAGAAGTGTATGAAGTATCACTGTCACTTAGTGATTAGCACATGCCTTACAAACATCCATACACTTTCAGGTTGTGCTTCTAGTTCGGACATGACGAGAATGGAAATCAATACCGGCCTTCCACTCCGCCGCGAGGTCACGGTGCAGGTGCCCACGCGGAAGCGACCGCCCTTGGAGAAGAACGCCCAGCAGGCGACCCCGGGGCGGCCGTGGACGGCCGCTCTCTTCGGCAGCCCAAAACGGTTTTTCCAACATTTGATTTCCTAAGGTCCAAGTGAGACCTCCAGAAATCTTCCTTGCAGGTCCGAAATATCTTTGACCTTCAATCTTCTTGAAGTTGTTCCGTTCATCTTGTGTTTCCTTTCCATCTTTTGGCTAGTCGTTGAAACCCGAGATTCTGCCAAAGACGAGCCGTGTTGGCAGATTCTTCCTTCTATATAAGATGCAACAGATGCAAAAGGACAATAGCTGCATCACTAGCAACATAGCTTTTTACAGAAAGTGTCCCCAAGCGGTTCCCTCAAGCTGCTCTAGGGACACGTAAGAAACGATCGCATTTTCGGCATCGCACATGTTATCCTTAGCTATAGAAAGCTAAGGGAAGACTTGAAAGATCTATAGCTTGCTATTGCAGATAGCGCAGTTCGCGGACATCAAGTGGTCCAGGGTGAACAAAAAGAGGCAAAATCTACAATCTTCCACGGAACGGGATGCACCAGCAGAAACGATATGACCATGGTTTCAAGTCGCAAGTGCAGAGCTCATAGCATGCACTAAATGCCTAGCACTTCTCGATATGACTAGCCGGAGTACCACTTCCACCTGTCGTCTCACCTCGTTCTCAGCTCTTGAGGCCATGCATCGGGGCCGACAGCACTTGCCGGACCGGCACTTGGCAGGGGCTCCTCAGCGAGCGCAAACTGCAGTGAGGGAGAGAAAAACCCGGAAGAAATGGCAATTCTTGGCTACAAAATGCGCTAGTAAGAGGTTTTTCGTGGTGCGATGGTCAAATTGTGTCCCTTTGACAAGCTAGAGGTTTCATGACGACTTTCAATTCTATCGCGCAAAATATATACCAGAAACAATCATACACGACCTCCAAAAGAGCACTGTCAATACACCACTGGTGCAATGGCACCAAAAGGGGAACTACGACCTCCAAAACCACCGGTCGGACCGGTCGGACTGACTCGACGGACCTGTCACAGGTCATGGAGAACCTGCGGCACTGCTGTCGAGTGACCACGTCCCACAGCCCAGACGGCTCACGTCTGTTCGACGTCCACCGGGTCGGTCGGTCGGTCGTTCCTTTCTTTTGCACCTCGTTTTCAAGCTTCAAACAAGGTCACTGGTTTATCCAGTGACCTTGCGATATAAAAACTGGTTCAAGTCCAAGAAGGCACACTTGATCAATATTGATGTGCTTGCTTCTTGCTTTCTCCACCATCCTTCTCCACTCTTTCCGAGGTCGATCTCCTTGGATCACCCGGAGTACAAAAGCCGCTACCAGCTCTACGGGATGCTCCAGGGGAAAAGCCCGGACCAAACGGAGGAAAAACCATGTTTTTGTTTTAAAGAGCGAAAGAGTTGACTTATGGGTCAGTTGGCTTTTGGGACTGATGTTTTTTTGGGAATTTAAGTCTGCGAAGCTGACGTGACGTGACCAGTGCCGAGGCATGACACCGATGCTGCCCGAGACGCCGGAGGCAGAAGAAGAGTCCGAGGCGCGGCACCGGAGAAAAACGGTGAAGGAAAACGAGAAGGAATGAGGTGGAGAGCAGCGATTTGGACGTCCGTGCGTGTGGTTGGAAAACCGTTCCTTGTCTTTGTGGGTCGGTGTTCTATGGACTTTGAGCCGAAGATGATGAGATGCCGATGGCCAGTTAGCGTAGGTTAGCCAACATCTGAAACGTCTGAGAGTAAGAGCATGTAAGAGCTCCTTTCGCCTGACTGCCCAGGCGCAATGAGACAGAGACTTTCAATGACGGGCGACGGCAACACAGGGCCTTGCCCAACTGGATGCCAAGACTTTTGCCAGACCTCGATCTCAAACAACTTGGAACATTCGGAGACATAAACAATCTCGTAACTATTCCAGTCTTTCTCGCAACCAACCGCAGAATCCAGAGCATCGTAGCTTTCGTCGGTCATCCTCCAATTCGCCGGTGAGCCGACCTCTCCGGCGGTTCTCACCCGGGCGCCGCGGCCGCTCCGCGCCCGATGTGAGCCAACTGCGTAGGGGCCGTTTGGCGTCTTCCTGTGCTGCTCTGCAGCGCCGGATCGAGAGACACCGCGGCTATAATTCGGTGCTGCAAGGTGCGGTGCGGGTTTTAAGTTCCAAAGCATGGGAGGGACAACCTGAAGTCATTGACAAAAGAGAGTACTTAAATGTTCGTCCAGTTGAAGAGAGCTGTGTAACTACTGCGAGATGTTTCTGCGGAAGGCTTTGGGAGAATGGACCACTCCAATACCTTGACTTTTTGGGAGAATGGACCTTATCCACCAGCATGATCTACAAAAGGACATCGACATGCTTATTTTACCCGGAACAAACATCCAAGATCTCGCTTGAGGACCCGTGCCGCTTAATCGAAAACGGGATGCTTCGAAGAACGGAAGGCTGTCGCACAACGGTTCTATTTTTCTTTAAAACTGCAAAAAGACACACAATTTAACGTCTTCTTTTGTATCCCTGTCATGGCAGAGCTGGAGGCCGGTCTTCCATCGCGCACCGATCTTCACTGCGTGACGAAGCGGACGCGTCCATCTGCTGCGCTCGGATGGAGCGGAGTTGGAACGGCAAAAAGTGGGGAAGGTGTGTGGATTTGAGATGATTGAGAGGAAGGGAGGAAGGTGTGTGGATGGGATTGTTTGTGCACGCACAGTATACATTGCATAGGTTTTCTTTCATTTAGCCCAAGTATAGTGCCCAATAAGTTTGAGACGGTCATTTTTTGCCTCATCTCATACTCCATCTGCAGCGCCTGGCGTTCCGTATTTGGCTGCAGGAGCACTTACTGCACTCGACATTTGGGCCCAGCTGGTGCCTCCAAAAAAGAAGATGAACGATTAGACTCCACTGTAGACCATATAAAAATAAGCCCATTTGAACGACCTATTTATTTGTGTTCCAAACCATCAGAAACACGACATTTGGTGGCCAGAAGCGTCTCTTCCCCGATCGCCGTGTCGTGCGGCGATGGTTAGTGGACGCCGCGGCCCGAGAAACTGAGAGAGATGGACAGGAACGGGTTTGACATTAGGAGCAAGGACGCTACGAACGGAGCAAAGGGCATCGCTACTAGGAACAAGAAGCTACCAGGAGCTCCTGGCCGTACTACTAGGAGCAAGGACGCTACTAAAGGAGTCTCTTTGACTCATCAAGACTCCGACAGAAGTACTGCCAGAACACGCAATTCGTTTCACAGAAAAGCCTTTCACCGACTAGCATATCACCCGTGACTCCTTCAGCTTTTGACCGAAAATGGGGACCCTATGAAGCAGAAGGCTGGCAGCCTGACAGACCTGGCAACCTGGTGGTGCTAGTGATGCAATGTCAATGGTTTTGGTTTGCAGCATTTGCACACATAATTCTAAGACTCATCAGGCTTGTTTTTTTTGTGGCATTCCACGTCCCACTAGTTCAACATCTTGAAACCAATTCTCAAGCCCATTGCCTCTTGAGACATCTCGAAAGGAGACACGCATGGGATATCTTCGTACCTTTTTTGCTTCGCCCCCAGTTCTCAGGCGCAGTACATTCCATGCTGCGGAGGCGAACTTAGGGGTTGCCTCTTGTGGCTTTGTGTTGAGCTTCAATCTTTTAAACATTTTGTTCAAGTCAGTGCTTCTTGCTTTTGGAAGAGAGCTGCTTACTTTTGTTTTAAAATTTGGAGAAAGAGATGCTTAATGTTGTTTGGCAGGGCCAGAGTAACTGCTAGACACGACAGCCTAGGTAGGTAGTCTGGTCTACTGAGTCTACTGTTTTTGCTGTGGACAATGTTCACTTGTAAGGCTGATCAAATGTTGTAATCTGAAATGGTTGACTGTTTCTTTTTGTTGGGACTTTTTAGTGTTTTATGTTTAGGTCACTTGATGAGGCTAATCGTTGTGGTTCTTTATTTTTCTGGGCTTGACTTAGCCGAAGGGCTTCGGCTCGCTTTTCCGTACCCGAAAGCGCTTCCTTCCTGCGGTTCCCTTCCTGCGCTTCCACCTACTTTACCTCGTCGGGAGGCTCAGTTAGAAGAGAGTATGTCCATGCAAAACAAGGTGAAACACAGCGCCGCATTTGTTTGCCCTCGCCACTTTTCGTCAAAAGCACGCGCATTTGGCTGAAGCCATCGCAAAATTGTTTGTTTTAAGAAAACAAATCTATTCACCAAAATGTAAAAAAAATCAGCCGGAAAAATCAGATAAACATACGTTCTAAACAAAGAAACAAATTCAGCATCATAATATTTCATTTGATAATATTTTACACCACCTATAATTCATTCTATATAGGCAGGCAAGATTCCCCAGATTCGCCATGGCTCGTGACTACCGTTCCCTGGCGGCTTTGGTTGCGCTGTGGTGGAGCTCATCTGGGTGTTTTGGCTCGATGCCTGCCGACACGCGTCCAATTAGGACGGCTCGCCCTGCGTCGTCTATTCCGGAAATAAGCACGTTGCTTCAAAGCATCAATGAGATTGTAAACGCCGAGAAGAGGTTGAAAGCACTCCAGTCAATCATGCAGATTCTCCAAGAGAGAATGGAGATGGAGAAGGAGAGAGATGTCCTCCAAGTGAGGATGGAGAAGATTGAAGAAGACCTTCTGCGAGCAAAGGGGCTAATGACTGCGCGTGGCGTCTTTGAACGAGTGGCGCAACTTGCATTCAATGAGCAGAAGAAGGCAGGAAACGTGAAGGGGAATTGCGTCACGGCAACCATCTTGCCGATCGCAAGCAAGCATCCGGAGGAAGGATGCTGGTCTGAACTCCTGCACAGTTCCGCAAAAGAATGCGAGAGCACGCAGATCCCCGAAGATACATTGCAACAAGTTTGGACTCTACTCTCCGACCAAGTTCACAACCCTTCATGGGGAGATGTCAAGATAGATCCAAACCTACCTGAGGGCACGAGATGCATAGTGAAGAAGCTTTGCGAGAAGATGGGATTAGAAGTGGTCCCATAAGGAGACAGCTTCTCTATGGACAAGCGCCCGAGCAAAGAACAAGCCAGACCGGAGTCGCCCTTTGTGGCTTTACTGCTTTAATTGGGGAGATGAGAAACCACGCACCTTTGAGGATTTTGTCATCGAAACCCGATGAGCCCGCCCTCATACCTCAAAAGAGCCCCCTCATATCATTATGAATGACCAGAACCTCATCAAATATGAGCCCAGCCTCATACTCGTATGAGGGCGACCTCATCCCGACATGAGGGTTCACTCATCAAAATGCCTTTTCCCCACCAGAAAGATGGGTTTTGGGGTACGTACGAGACCGACCTCATCCTCAAGTGAGGTTTTCCTCATCCCACATGATGGGTTTCTCATCCCAGATGAGTTTTTTTCTCCAGTCGTCACCCATCCGCTCTGAGGTTAAGAAGATTTGCCTTCTTTACCTACTTGAAGGTGAGAGTTTACCGAGTATTTGAAACAAAAAGAAAACTGTGTTAGAAGACTTCACGATGATTCCATTGATTTTGATATGTTTTTTTCACTTTCCACAATATATGTTTGTGGCCCTTGAAATGATTCCTACACGTTCCGGCGTGTCGGGGAGCTACCCAATATTTGTAAGAACAAATACCTTCACGCACAGATATGGATGTAGACATGCATATGAAACATGAATATAATGTCATACGTGGCTTTGGAATTTGGAAGTGAACTGTTTCCCAGGAAGTACCTTGGATGATTGCGACAACTCCATGGAAGACAAATGCCTGGGTCTCAAGTATTTCACTTGGAGCAAGCTGACTGAGCAAGACGCGAGGCTGGGACTCTTGCTGCCCACCTGGATATTTCCGCACAAGCCTCAAGTTGCCGAGTATTTTTATTGGTGTCTCATGCTGAATCATCCTGTCTAAGGCTCACGCTCTCCGATAGTGGAGTTGTATTGTCAGGACGGATTGACCACATGTGTGCAGCCAAGATGATTGCATACATCTTTATGGCACACTTGCCGACATACTCAATCTGGTCGTGGATTCTTGTTGTCTTCATTTGAGGTTCTTTTCTCGGAGAGGCGTGTCCATCTTATGGCCAGAAGTCTGGGCTCCATGCCGGCGATTCTGACCTGGCCAACTTGCTTGCGTTCAGGTACAATGAGAAGCTGATCAAAAATATTGTCTTTTTGTTGAGAAACAACACCTGTGGTTGATGAAACTACATTCCATCCATTCCAAGAAAAGTGCGAAGAATACTTTGGATTTATGTCATTAATAAAGCAAGCTCTCTCCAGAACAGCGAAACAACACCCATAACCATGGAAAATGTTCAAAGAACTTCCCCGCTTGCATCATGATATCATATGGATCAATTCGATTATAATGAAATCGTTCTGCAAAACATTCACGCCTTTCTGTATTGATTGAGGCCAAAATTGCCAAGGTTTTCTATTTCTCTCTGGCCGGCATCCAAAAAGTTATAATAGTTGAAAGAGGCAATATTTATCTGGGACCTCTGATGTTTGCATGTACAGCCTATAAATACTCCGCTAGCGTACAGCAGACACGTGACTTACGACGTGTTTTGGCTCAAGGTGAAAAGGCGTTCCAAAACGTCGAAACCTCGTTTTCATGGTAGCGAAAGGGTCCGGCGAGAGTGACAGGGACCGAGCACTGCGCATAAAGGAAGAAGGATATAAGAAAGTTGAGAGCTCCGAAAAGGAGAAGAAGCAGGAACCATCGGGAGCGGCAGCTTCTGCCGCCCCGGTTGGAATAGAGGAAGAAGGAGAAGTAAAAGAGAAGGAGGAGAACAAGCCTTTGCGCCAACAGAGTCCACAGAAGCGGCAGATCAAGCCGCAGATTCCACTCCAGCGGTCGATCAGACCGCGGAGACCAAAGAAGAAGAAAGGAAGAAGGAGTGGAAGGACCACAGGAAGAGGAAGAGCCTGAACAGGATCCAACAGTCGAGCCGGGGGCTGAGGCGGCTGGTTCAGCTGCACAGCCACAGGGCGGCCGAGTTATCGCCGATCTCATCACAAGTCCTGAAGGTATCAAGACTGGTTGGGAAGTTCGTGGCACACACGCCAAATACACCCCAGCTAAGGTCGATCCCAAGGCACCTTGGAGGAAGCAGGTGAAGAAACAGATTTGGGGCCAAGTCAAGAAGCACCCAGAACCAAAATCCGGATTCGAAGCAGAGTTTCGCTTCAGTATCGGAAGCTCAAGGATTTGGTCAGGTTGCAGAAGAAGCAGGGTGTCATCACAGAAGACCTGAGGAGGCGCATCAAGGACTTCGGCAAGGAGCGCCCGCCGCAAGAGATCAAGTTAGAGCGGGAAGAACAGAAAGTCCGCCACAAAGACAAGCGCATCAGGCACGGGCAGGCCAAGAAGGATGAAGCGGCTGATCCAGCCGGCGAGAAAGAAGAAGAAGAGAGCCTGTCGGAAGAAGAGCCTTCCGGAGTGAGATTGAAGAGCAGGAGCCGCAGTCCTGTACGACAGCCTCGAACCCCAGAAGGGCCGCCACCGGCCCGTCGACCTCAAAGCCGCGATGCAAGTCGTGGCTGAGCAGTCTGGGGTCGAGCTTTGGAACTCAATCTCCGGATCGTCACCCTGGCCAATCAACGGGCTCAGAATCAGCCGATCGAGAATTGGAAATTGGAAAAGTCCATTCCTGCCGCAACCAGGGAGCTTTGGAAGACTCCGAACGAGCAGGGCAAGCGTGGTTCCTTCGAAGCTTGCAGCAGCTGCGACGAGCGCAAGAAGGCGCAACTTCCTGCCGTCCAAGCCTATATCAAAGCAAGAGGATTGAAAGGTCCAGCAAGGCTTGGAGCAAGTGCCAAGGCAAAAGTGCCGTCGGCTTGGTGAAAAGCCGTTATCACGTCAGCCCTACAAAGCTTCCATCGTTTGATCACAGCTTCCTCTAACCATCGACAATGAGAGACTTCCTTGTCGGCAGTGCTGCAGCCTTGGATGAAGAAATCTAGCAGCGCGCTTCTCCAGGAGCTGCTTCGTGGGCGTGGGTGCCGCCACCCTTGCCCTTCTTGCCTTTCCTCAGATCGACCCAATTTGGGATTCATGCTGCGGCCAAGCCGCTGCAGAAAATCCGGGCGCCGGCCAGGAAGACCGTGCCCTGCCCGGAGGGCCTTCGGTGGTAACCGAGGGTTATATACGCGCGCGCCCCCTGCCGCCGACCCTCGTCACCAAAACGGGGGGGCCCCCGTCCCACTTCCTGTTCACTGAAGCCCCTGTAATTTACAGTGTATCGTGTGTGTGAGGTATAAAAAAACACTGTGTTTTACAGGGTTTTGGGCCCCTCAGCGGCAGAGAATTTCAGCTAGGCGATGTCATAAAATGTCGGTTTTTCTATGTTTTTTGCTTTGCGGGAAGGAAGAAGTCGTAAAAAGTTGTATCGGAAGATTTTTTTCAACATAAATTGCCTAACATATCCCCAACATAGGCTCAAGATAGCCAACATATCCCCAACATATGCCTCACATACCCTCCAAGATGGCTCAACTTAGGGCCAACATCGGCCAACATGGGGCCCACATACGCCAACTTAGGCCCAACATTGGCTCAACCTAGGCCAACATAGGCCAACATAGGCCTAACATAGGCCAACGTACGCCCAACATAGGCTCAACATGGATGTGCCCAACATAGACCACATGGGCCCAACTTGGCCCAACCTAGGGCTAAGATGCGCACCAGATAGCTTCACTTTGCTCAATATAAGCCCCGCTAAGGCCAACATAGGTGTGACAGACGCCCCACAGACCCAAGTGGGCCGGCGCCCGGCTGTTAGGCGTAAGCCTTTAAATCCAATGCATCTGGGGTCAAATTTGACCGGGCACAGTTCACTGCATAGAAAGGATCGGTCTCAAGACGTTCACGAAGGGTAGCGGCACCGCGCTTCTTTGCCTGGCGGATATGAGCCTTGGCATTGTCGCGCAGGCGCTCAGCCTTTTCTTCTCAGGTGTTGGATCTTTTCATTGAAAGCGGCGGCCAGAAGTCCCTCCTCCATCCACTCGGACTCTTGACAATCTTGTCTGGGCGCCACGCTCCTTGCATTGTTTTCGGCTTTCAAAGGCGCGGCGCCGTTCATCATGAGGAGGGGGCTTCTGGATCTTCCTTTTTGGGAGGCGTTGCATTCGAAGCCTTGCGCACAGGAGGCATCATTCTCTTGCTGGGGCTTGTGTGATTAATTCCTGCCAGCTTGTTGTCTTTTGCCGCTGCCGGTCGCTCGTCATTTGCTGCTGCCGTGTTTGATGTTCTGCAGCTGCTGGTAGTTCGTTGTCTGATGTCTTCTGCCAGTGCCAATTGTTTTCTGCAGCTGCCGCTGTTTGTACCTGCTGCTTTTCACCTATAGGACTCCATTGGCCAACCAGGCCACAGAAGCGAGCTCCTTGGCAAAGAGGGCGGGCCCAGCGCAAGCTCCAGAAAGCGAACGGGGCACTGGGCAGGCTGCGCGGCAGAAGGGGCCCGATCTCGAACAGACACTGTCACGGCGGTGGAAGGTTGTTTATGAAGACAGACAGTGGCAGTATACAGGGATGCGAAGGACACGATTGTTTTGAGATCTTGGTCCAAGTGCACAACAAGAGCGTGAAACGCCCAGTGGCCAAGTTGCGCCAGGACATGGTTGGCGTGGGGTCGAGCAGGGGTGCTGTTTCAAGAGCTGCGCGTGGCTGGGCTCACAAAAGGCTTTCCCTGCCAGGTGGTTGACATCAGCCTTATGGTACTCATCCTCTGACAAAGAATGGCCCTTGCCCAACAAGGTGGTCAAAAAAGGGTCGCCAAGTTTACTGCACTTCAAGTCCTGCTGAAAAAGAGTTCAGAATCCTTCAATCGAAGTGAAGAGACTGCGGTTCTTGGGAATACCGGCTTGGCGTTGAATCTGCTTTGACAGACAGTCCAACGCTGCACGGTGCTGTAGTAGTTGTTGTGAATGGACTGACCCTTTGAGGTGTCCGTACGGTATGCGCGAATGTCTATTTCACGCACGAAGCATTCGTAGAGCATCAATGCCGTTTGCCCTCATGAAAATTGCAGATT